ACTCATCCACCCGTTCCACTCACAAACTCATAAAGACTCGCACTGAAGCTTACAGGCGGTACAAACCAAGTCCTCGTTACGGGAAATCTGCGTCAAACACTACACTAAATCCCTCATGAACACCCAGGTGTGCCACTCATTTTGGTTGTTGCTGTCCCTTTTCACATCCTTTTAACTGCTGTATCATACTATTGTATTTTACGTATTTTTTGACACACTATGGTTATGTGGTTGCTGAATATCCACCTCTCGGGGTGTATAAAGCCATTCCTTGACTTGACTTGACTTGACTGGGGAGTGCATAAGAGCAATTACAGCTTGGATTTTCTGAAACGGAGCATAGATCAATTGCGGGGATTTCCAGACAGGTTTGGTTGCTACTTTATCAGGGGGTATTTTTGCAGACAATGATATCATGAACGGAGAAATAGACATCAAATCGCCTTGGGCGTTGGACTGTCAATACGGGAAAGCGTGAAAGCGACATCAAAAGAAGCTTCACTGAATCCCCGTGCACCAGTGGAGATATAAAAACTACTCTCGAAAATATAACCCCTAAGCTCCAGAATGTTTGGAGAACTAAGAGACGTAGTGCTTATCACATGATCACGTAAAACACGGAATTGCACTGTCACAACCATCAATTGGATAAACAAATGTTTTAGATAAGAAAAACCTTACAGATTATGGTAAACCGTGGTTAGAAACTCTGAATGATATGGCTGAGTGTCGCAGTGGCGATCGTGCATCTACTCATTATCCTTGCAACCTTATTCCATGTGAACTCTTTATGTTCTCTTTGATCTTGCTGCTAACAAGCTCCATCTACCCTTTATTGAACTGGGCAACCAGTTGTGTTGGAAAACTAGCCTGATTTGTTTTCTGACTCATAACTAATGCACACAAGTTTTCGAAGTCCCATTGGGTCCTACAGAAAAAAATAGTTGTATACGATTCAATGCATTGATTTTTATGCAGCTTTTAAGTGGTTCGTTAGGTCGATACAAAACAGACAAGAAGAGGAAAGTTGAGTCCTAGAGAACTATGCAACCAGCTCAGGGAATGGGCACTGCTGTTGCTCAAAAGACCGGAACAGATTTCCACGTAACGATACAGTTTAGGAGACCAGTTCCACGCGCAATGAGCATCCGGCAGTCTCTCATTTAAACAATCATGTATTTGAAAAAACTGGCCTCCAGTTGCAGATTGATTCAACGGGGCGAAAATGTATACAGCGATTTCAAGGCACGTATGGCTTGTTACATGTCAGATAGTCGCATGACAGTTTCTCAATCGCTTGAATGGCCTAGTGATATCATCCATGCAAACTGAGTCCCATTCGGGGGAACCCTGATATTTTGCCCCCCTTAAAATGTGTTAGTTGTTATACGAGCAAACAAAATTGGGTGTGATTTTTTCACGGTCTAAGTGTAACAAATCTGAATGAATGGCATTGGGAGAGGCTCGACAACCGAGGCGAGTCACGCGCCCCAGGGCACATGAACCGCGTGGCTCCAGTACTCGTGGATTTTTCACTGACCGAATCCACAGTATAAAGTCTCGTTCTGAAATTTGGTACGCCATACTGCAACATGTAGTCGGTCTTTCTGAACAAATATGGTTTTGATGAAGAATACAAAAGTGAATATATTCGAAAAACAAGTATGGACCTAGTATTTTTTTAATCAAGTCATATTGGTCGCGATGGAGGCGATGCGAATGGAACATTCCGGAATAATCGTTTCTTATGTCCAGATTATGCTGCGCCATTTCACCAGGGATATGTAAATAATGAATATAAATGATTATAATCATTTACCCGTTAGAGTTGTACATCCTCCGTGGGCTAAAAGTTGTCTATTTATATTTATATTTTCACACAAGCCTGAGTTCAGACTGTGTGCCAAACAAATCACGGTACAATGATCTTCATAAAAACAAAAAGGTACATGATGTGCTCGAGGGCATGATACTGGTAGGATGTCCATGCCAAAGTTGTTAGGCAGCAATAAAACGAATATTCTATGAATGTACGCCGATTTTTTCGTTCATCTGCTTATAAGTTGATTTCGGGGATTCGTTGTTCTGTCTATTAGGTCAATAAATTCTCCCACCACTCTGGTCCTGCAAAGCGTTCCGTACAAACCTCAGTAACTTTCGAGTATTTCGGTCGATAATCAGAAATCTTGTGATTCCCATCCCAAATAACTTTATTAAGCAAAAAAGGAAATAATTAGATATCTTGGATCACTTTCTGAAACTTGACCACTCATTCTGATTAGCTCAGTTCTTACAAGCATTAATAATAGACGGCGCTCTACTAATAAAACTTCCTGTTAAAAGCACTGGAGATGGAAACGTTTCGAATGTGTACATGCATATTGTCTAACTACAACGCCTCAGAATAGACAAATGAAAAAAACACCTGAAATTACGAACAGGTACTTGAACCATAAAAAATAGTCGTCATTTCGTGACCATGAATGTTGATTTGTAGATTGTGCAAACAGTCGCGCCAGGATTAACCCAAGTGAATATTACCATCAGTCGGTGACCTCAATAGTATCTGTATTGTTTCGGTATGCGTTAATAATGCACTAACAAACGGTTCTTGAAGCCCGAGTTGATTGATTTCGTTGATTTTCGTTTGAACTCTGTGGACGAAAAAGAACCTAAGCAACTATGGCGCGGACGGGTAGAGGAAAACGTAAATAGAAGAAAGTAGGGAGAGGGAGAAACGCAGAAATAAGGGAAATGGCGTTTAGTGACCTACCAAAGGGTTGGGTCGGAAACGGTAGGCGAGCATCATACGTTTCCGGTACGCATCATATTCATCATCCTCTTTGGTCAGGTTTGACTGACGATTGATGCCTAATCCGATACCGTCAATGTGAACGTTCCCCCTGAAAATGCGTGACAGCGAGAGGGTGAGAGAGAGATAACGAAGTGGTCGAATGTCGATAATATGAAGTTAGCAGTAGATGCCAGATTTTAAAAAGACATAAAAGAACGACACATGCGGTCTGAAACGGCCTTCAGATGTAACTTAAGGATGTTGGGATAATCAACTACAAGCAAATGACCACCGATCAAGACGCAAAATGAATTGACTGATCGACGATCTGGTGAATATCACTTACTTGCCCACTGGATTCACAATGCCTTGACCCTCGCTGCCGAGACCTTCACCTTCTTTCCAGCCCATTTTCTCCAACATTCGGAAACCAACATTCTCGCAGGTTAGCTTGAATTGTTTGTATTCGGACAGATCTGGATTTCGGCCTTCCTTCAGAGCCTGTAAATATTGAGCATGGATGGATTTGTCAATTTAGAGACATTAAAACAAAAGTTATGGAAGCTAATGATCAAGAAATCGGTTAACAGTGAGTGAAATGAACCACCTTCTCTTTAGACAAAATGTCGATACAATTGACTTTAATCGTGTTTGAAACAAAAACATATGAGCCTAGTACACTGTCGTTGATGAAAGGTTAAACAAAATTTCCACCCACCCACTGCAACCGAAAAGACCAACAAGCTGGATGTTCGCAACCTTGAACGGTTGTTCAATTTAGTAGCAATCAATATGCGAACATCCATGTGTGCAGAACGATTAGAACAAGTGACCGATACGCTTGGAACTCTGGGCATAGCTGTGTTGTGTACAAGAAATCTGCCAGTGGTGAGGAACCCAGCCAACACGGCTGACAACGATCCAGTGACCAGTGTGTATACGTTTCCCTGCCTTCGCTCTGTCTGCTTTGGATGCAATAGATGAATGCTTACATGCTTCCGACTGTATTCTAATTCACTATCAGTGCAATCGTAATTCAGATAGGAAACGTTCTCCGAGGATGATCATAGGCGAATCTTGAATCAAAATGATCCCTGTAGTCATAACAGCTTCAATCAGCTAACCGAGATGATTTTCGGAATATATGATATGATCAGCCAGGGGTACCCAAGCACAGCGCAAGCGAATGTTTCTAGTTGGAAACTAATCCAATGCGACACAAAACGGTGCACTTCAACAGATTGCAAACTCCTTCTAAATGCCAATCCTGGATCACAAAAAATGCATCAATGAAAAGCGCGATTCCAAGGTAATTCATTGCTAGAACGGTAATGACTACTCACTTGAGTGTACGGTAGAGGTGAAAAATGCAGTTGTATTAAAAAAACTTCTCACTCAATCTTCCATTTAGTCTGCCATTCATATAAAACAAAGTGATAATGAATAAATGCGCGAGGTAGACGGCTCTTGAGCCCACAACCAGCAGTGGTATAAATACACGCTGGTCTCGGATATTGAAACAACGTTCCACCAAGCAAAGGTGCCAGTTAGTGATCGTGACTGCATGCGTTTTCTCTGGTGGCCCGACGATGATCTGTCGAGCTGCCCCAGTATGGTCTACAGTGACACCAGAACGGATTTTTGTGTTGAGACAGACCTGAAGCGACGCTTAAAAGCTTGAAATCAAGATAAAAATTTTAAGTCGTTTAGCAACAGAAATTCGGAATGGCATTTCACTCCACCTAAGGCGAGCCAACTAGGAAGTATATGGGAACGTATGATACGATTTGCCCGTCACATTCTATTTTCTCTCCTGGTTCATCAGTTGGTTTTCGACGAAGTTTTGTGAAGTGAGGAAAATACTCAATGACCGTTCTCTAACTAGAATACCAGACGACCCGGAAGACTTTGGTGCAGTAAAACCTAATCACCTGCTCCTGCGTAGCGTGCCAGCAACATTCCCCTATGATCTGCCAAGTACAAGGTTAAACCGAAGATGGTGTCAAGCTCAACAGTTGGCCGATACGTTCTGGGTTCGATGGTTCAACAACCAACACTACAGCTGAGACCCAATTGGGCTAGAGATCGTTCCTAGCTGAGGCACCTGCATGAAGAGGAACCTGGCCGGAGGGAACGGTGGAAACCATTACGGGAAGCGATGAAAGAGCCAGAGAAGTCGCTGCACGTACCGCCAAAAGTGTTCATCGACGGGATATACGATATTTGTGTCCTTTTGAATCGGATTTATCTTCATGATTGTGGTTGGTGGTATTCTCCAACCCCGGGGACAGTTTTAATTACTATTCGTAGCTGGATGTCCCTTCGTACGTTTGCGTTAGACTACTTACGAGTAGCATTCCGTGTAGTTTTTTTAATCCCAAGGGACTTATAGACATGAAATTTATATATTCCGATAGCGTATTCAATAGTTTTAATGCCATGATTACCATATGTGTATTCACACAGTTGTATTTTCCCACGAACATAAAATTCTCTAAACGTTTGTTCTGCGAGTAAAACCCCGCCACCACTAACGGCCGAACCGCAAATAGCCACGCGATACCCCTAACCACACACGCTTACCACAGACCTGTTTATTCCTTATCTCACAGCTACCATTTCATACGTATGCTTTTAATTAACACCGCCCTTTGGCATCGCGTTCATAAGTATTCTAATCCAAACAGAGGGGGAACATTTAATTACGAATAGTAACTAAAACTGCCGCGGGGGTCGGAGAATGTCCCCAACCACAATCATGAAGATAAATCCGATTCGAGAAGACGGCTGTCGTATATCCCGTCGGTGAACACCGTTGGCGAATGCTGCTACTAATTGGATAACCGGATTATCCGTACAACATCAGGTATCACTACTGTAACAGATGGAAACTATTTCGGATATTCATCATTATCGCACTGTTGAAATATCAAATATGATTGATAACTTTGTTGCGCTATGAACGGTTCACGCAATCACGACAGTCAACTTACTCGAAAAGTTTCCATAAACCGTTCAAGTTCATCCGGTGGAAGGAAGTCACCAATATGATGTTTGCCGTGACCCATTTCCGTCAGTTTCTCGGCCCATTCTGAAAAGAATGCATGAAAACGAATGGTTCGGGTAGGTTCGCAAAATGCGACAACATTCAACACAGTTCCGTAAGTCCGGACTCGAACTGACTTATTCTTTCTCGTATAATCGCCCAATAGCCGAACGGCTCATCAGAAGCCAAGGTGAACTTTTCACTAGGTGCGAGCTTTCCTTCTGCCTGAAAAACATCGAACCATAGTATTGATTCATCAATGGACGGGTCCTGAAAGAACTGTCCAAACAAATTTACCCGGTGCTGCTGTGACGAAAATTTACTTCCTGGGTACAAGTATTTGAATGAAAAGACAAAGATTATCGGATACGCATGCCTGACGAACAGAACCTCGAAACAGGTTGCGTGTTTCCGGGGAAATTTTATCTAGTCATTCTTATGCTACTTATTGTAGTATATATATATATACCATTTGCCATAGTTAACATTCAGCAATATTACTTGAACCAGTTGTCATTCAATAGCAATAAAAAACGACGAGCTTGGTAAAACGTTATATACTCCAATACGACTCAGATAACGGAAAACAAAAAGTCTCTGAGAAGGATATAAGAATTGTTCAACTGATCACTCATAAACAGATGCTACAAAAAGTGAAACAACACCCACTCCACCTTTTGTTGCCTCCATCTCAGCCATTCGTAACTTGTGCTCCCACGTGCCTCCTTCGCAATCCTCGTCAGAGTCATACTCATACTTGATCACCAGACCGTCCTTTGTTACGCGCGGTTTTTTACCGTAATTCGGACCGGCGATTCGACTCATGAGTTCCTGTTCTTTCAGCTTCGATCGTTGTTGAGCCATGATAAACTCGTGCATGGCTTGGAGCTATTTGTGACAGTTTGAGGACAAAGGGAATGCGAGAAAGATAGAGAGAAAGACTAGTGTGGAAGAGGGCGTATTTAGGAGCAATCAAAGTGGACAGAACCATTATTTGATCCCCGAATACCGGGATAAAAATAACTTCAATAGGATACCTCAAGCAAAAAGTGTCATCCACTGACTACAAATAAATAAAGTAAGAGATTTTTTAACTTCTTCAGCAGACTATAATATGGTATTCATATTGCTGCATGCCGTCATTGCAAAGCATACAGGGATCAGTTACTGATCATTTCTCTCCGAGTGTTAAGAGGCAAAAGGGATGAGCCCCGTAGTCAAAGATACTTGTGATTAGGATGAAGAAGCCGGCAACCTAAGCCCTGAGACGAATCATAGGAATTTCCTGTAGGATAGACCTGGAATTGACCTAGGTAACAAGTATCGATCACAGAAAAACAGCAAAGAGCTGGAACGGGAAATTGCCTCCGAAGTTGAGTTTCTATTAGAAGGATATTTCATCGAACCGAACACCACACGGGACCTGAAGCCGAGAGGAACTCAGATTCCCCGGCTTTATGACCTGCCAAAACTCCACAAGTCAGGTGTGCCACCCAGACCAATTCTATCCATGGTGAACTCATCACAGCACAAAATGGCAAAATGGCTGGTAAATGTGTTAGAACCAGTTCATAGATCAATGGTGAAGCATATAGTCAAGGACAGTTTTGAATTAGTGGATAGTTTGAACAAGATCGACACAGAAGGAAAACGCCACTTCCTTCCATGTTTAATCCCCGTTAACTAATGTATCAGTTCGTGAGGTCATACAAATTATCTGCGATCATGTAGAGAAATAAAATATTCGACTGTGTCTAACGGTATCCGTCCTTGAGCGTCTACTACTGCTCTGCACAACCGACGTGTCTTTCTCTTTTCAAGGGAATGCCTACAGGAAAATCGATGGTTTCGCTATGGGCAGCCCGCTAGGCCCAGTCCTGGGAGACTTGTTCATGACACATCTGGAAGAAAAAGGAACTAATATTCTGGGGCGCGCTATCCTGTACAAAAGATACATCGACGACACCCTGGTTATAACAGAAAGCTTAGAAGAAGCTACGAAAATTATGGATGAACTCAACCGACTACATCCAAATATACACTTCACAATGGAATACGAATCCAACAATACACTTAATTTCCTTGACATTAGTATGACCAGAAGAGAAGACGGAACGATTGCTCGATCCGTTTATCGAAAGGAAACGTGGACAGGCCAATATTTACACTTCGAGAGCTTTATGCCCCTGGAGTGTAAACGTGGTCTTCTTCGGACCTTATTTAACAGAACGAGGCAAATCTGCACGGAAGACAGAATTGAACAAGAACTGCAAAACATCCGGGAGATTTTAGCAAAAAACGCTTACCCCGAAGCGTTTGTTAATAAGCATAGCAAACCGAAAATTGCGAAA